TAATAATAGTTTTATTATTTTATATTAAATATAATAATAAATATACATTATATTGTAATTATATATATTATATTATAGTATAATATAATATAATTATTATTTTTAATAATTTCAGTTATTATTTTAATGATATTATTATATTATATATCATAATTATATAATATATTATATAATAATAGTTTTTTTATATTATAGTATAATATAATATAATCATAATTTTTAATTATTCACGTAAATTTAATCTTATAATTTATCAAATACTATTACACTAATTTTAAAATCAATACAACTATTATAATTATAATTTATTAAATATTTAATTACTTTTTATAACAAATATTTTTTCATTCAACACAATTAAAAATAATTTTTTTAAAATATACAGCTCTACTAAACTAAGCCTCGGTGCGTTAAATTCCCCCTCCCTTTCACTGAATCAAGTTAGCTCTAGCTCCCTACCCATGACGTCTGCTTTGGGAACCCACCACAGTATAATACTATTTTTATCTTTCAACAAAAAAACAACATTATAGATTTTTTAAATCCAAATTCCAAAATACCAATATTAATATTAATTTCCCATTTCCATTTACATTTTTATATTATGGTGGCCTATCGAGGCAAAGAAGGCCCAGGTGATACCCACTGCCACACCCCATCTGCAAACCCCCTCCCTTTTTTCCCCCTAAACCCACTATAAATACCAACTCTAATCCCACCATTCTCTCCAAAGCTAATTTTCACTTCTCTCAGTTTCTCTCCAAAAAAAAAAAAAAACACACAACTCTTTACTCAAGCTCTTTCTTCCCCCCTTTCTCTGTTACAACACTTAAGAAGGAAAGGGGATTTTCTTTTACAGCAAAATCAAATGGCTTCTTCCGGTGTCGTCGTTGTGAATCCTCCGCCGAGCTTCTACCTCGACGAGAAATGGAAGCTCTCGAAGAAGGAGAGCTTGTCCCGGAGCCGATCGTCGTCGTTTCCTCTGGTGAAGAACAATTCTTCGTCGTCGTCGTCGGCGGCGTCGCGGAGGAGGTGCTCGTTCACGAGAAAGTGTGCGAGGCTGGTGAAGGAGCAGAGGGCTCGCTTCTACATCATGAGGCGCTGCGTCACCATGCTCATCTGCTGGCGCGATTACAGCGATTCCTGAACGCAGATGTAGTGAGAGAAAGTCCAAATATCTAGAGAGAGAAAGCGATGGCTTCCCGCTTCTGTCTGTTCCTCTTTCTCTCTCTCTCTCTCTCTCTGTCCTTGTTTCAATCCGGTGATATCTTTTTGGGGAGGGTTTTTTGCTTGCGTAGTTCTTCGTTTTGGCGTTTTCTGTCTCGACGAGAAGAGAAACGGAAAGAAGAAGAAATGATGATGATGAAGAAGAGAAGAGAGAGAGAGATAAGAGATATATATACTTGTAAATAGAGATTTTTTTTTCTTTTTTTTAGACGGTAGATTTTTTTGGGCTCTGAATCTCCAATGATGAAGGAGACGGGGTTCTTATGTTATTTTTCTCTGTTATTTTCATCCGAGATTTAGAGTTTTTTTTCTTAACATTTCAATGAACGAGAGAAAAAATCAAAAGTATAGGTTTGACCATCATCATATACGCTTTTTTTTTTTTTTTTTCTGTTATGGTTGTTTATTTCAGATTAATTTTGTGTCTGGGAATTTGGGTTTTTCTTGCTCTTTTTTTCTTTTGATGATGATTGAAGTGATGAGGTTTTCCTTCAAAATCTGACATAGAAAGAAGGAGATTCCATCTCAGGCTTTCAGTTTCAGCCATTGCAGAGCCCCTGATGGAATTGTGGATCTGGTGAGTTCGGCTGACGCAGATTTTTATTTCTTTAATTGTTTTTTAATTTTTTAAAAATAAAATTCTGATCATGTATATTTAAAAATTATTATTTTGATTATTATTTTAAAAGAATTGGTCTAAGTCTCAACGTGAGTAGGGACAGAGCTGAGCCTCTTTGGATGCAGTTAGAGCCAGAAGAGAGAGGATGAGAGATACCCTTTGTTCCAATTATAATATAGTACAATATTTAATTTAATTACCTACTAAATAAAAGGAGATTTTTACGTGGGGTTTAAAAATAAATTACTGATGGCTTTTTTTTTAAGCTGTGGTATTTTGTATCAGAACTTGTGTTGAGAATACTTTTTCATTTTTCTGTGATTTTAATGAGCAGAAATTTGCAATCGTACATTACCCATAGAAACTCCAGTAAAATGATCACTAATTAAAACTGTATTTTTTTTTCTTTTGGTAACAAATTAAACCAAGCTTGTAGAAATGAATTTAGGAAGGCCCACCAACACCGCATGAATACTGTCACTTCTACACAACGAGTCTGATAGCTGGAGAAGTAATTGGGGGCTCTGCCTCCAATGTCTTGTCACCCAAATGACTCTTTTGTCCTGCCTACTTGAGCCTTTGATCCAGAGGGAGGACCACTTTGACCTCTTATCCAGTTACAGTCGTTGCAGGGTAGTTTTGAACTTTCGTGCCTTTCTTTGTTCGTAAAAATCCTATTTCGTCCAATATTTTTACAGCTCGGTTCTGCTCATAGTTTAAACCGTGGGCTGATGGGCTCGTGGTGTGGTATCCGGCAATACTATACAAATACATGCAATAAATTAAAGGAAATTTAGGTAAATCATAAAAGCTTCAACGATGCAGCCAAAACAAATTAGAAAAATAAATGCTTGATTTTTTTTTTTTTTTTTTATATTAGTATGGTTTTATGGATATCAGATTATAATAAAAACGGCTTTTCATTTTCCTCATTTTATTCTTACTCTTCAGCAGTTTACGACAATATGGAGATTAAATTGTGTACCAAAATAAAATGATGGTTTTTGTTGTTTTGTTAATTGTCTATTTCAGTGATCAAAATTAAAATTATGAGTAAGAAGAGCTTTGGGAATGGCAGGTGGGGGCGGTTGCTGACAATGCAGCACAACAGCTAACACATGGGTTCACACACTCAAAAGTCCTTCCTAGAAGTCACAAGAAGAGTTGCATAACAATGCATAGCCCGCTATACTTGAATGAAGTAAAAGCCGCTATAGGTACAATTAAAGCAAAAAAACTAAAAACAAAAAAAAAAATTAAAATGTTTTTAGTTTATAGTACTTGAATTTACTGTAAAAACAATCATAGGTACGATTCATTATTCAATTTCAAGCCTTGGGGGAAAAAAAGGAAGAAATTATATATATTTTTTTGATAATTTAGGTCTCGTTCATTTCACCGATTTGAATTTTCAGTTCTAGATTTCTACAGTAAAAAGTTTTCAGAAAATGTCACATCTAACTTTTTCTGCTACAGTGAAAAGCTCTCAGAAAATGTCACATCTCAGCTCGAATTAAAAACTCGAATCCGCGAAGTGAACGATACCTTAATTTATAATTAAGAATAATTTTGTATGACGTGCTGTAAATTTTTAACTTAAATACTTACATATCAAACATTTGAAAAATTAATATAACAGTGGCAATAATAGTTCTCGAGAAAAAGTAAATTCCTACATAGATTTCCCTAAATGATTAGAATATCTAATTCTTAACCGTTAATATCTTCTCACTTATTTTTATTTGATTCGTCAGATTTGCAACTAATTGATCCTGATAAGACCATAATGTCATGCAATATTATTTTTGGAAGACAACCTAGGAAAATGACTATAACTCTTTTCTGAGAGGAAAAATGTCTATGATTCCGATTTTTCCTTTTAAAAATAAATATTCATATTTTGTTTCCCTTTAATAATAATGGAATTATTGATTTTAATTACAAAAAATACGTAATTACTGAATTTAGATTCATAGATTTGGACTAATTCTTGCGATACAAAATCATTTAAAAGCATCTTAAGCGGAATTTTGTTTCGTAAAAAAATAAAAAAGCGGAATTTTGTTCTTTTTCTTAAACGTGTCCCATTTTTCATTAAATAATATCCTGAGAACAAAAGTAAAAAACCGTTAATGCACCTTTTTTTTTGCCTTATTATATGATAAACATACTAAATCGTGAAAGTAATAATAATAAAAAGATATCAGGTTACTTTTGGGTGGTTATATATGATATCAATTAGTTGCTTACTCGTGATCGTGAACACTAATGCGGCAAAAATAAAGAATTATATTAGTAATAAATTCGTGGTTATCATGGAGGCAAGACCATGTATGAAGTTGAATTTTCTCATGCCGATGGAAAAAAAAGAAAGAAAAGAGAGTAAAATTGTAGCTCTTTTTTCTTTTTTGTTGTTCAACTTCTCAAGTATCAAACCAAAGTGCCTTCTTTTCACTATATTATAATAATTTTGTAGATTCTCATTATCATGCTTTACTTTGTGTTCCTTTATTTGGCCCTTATTTTCATTTTGATTGTCCTTATTGTTCAAGGTCAAACAGAAATTTTTGTTTTTCTCAAGATCGTCTTCACCTTTTATGCACTATATAAGAGGCAATCAAATAAACATGATCAACTTGAATAGACCATTACAAGAATGTTAATCATTGGAATTTCGCTTGGCGTGCCAAATGGGTCCTTACAAAACACAAAAATAATAAATAATACTAAACAAAGTCCCATCTTGAGACTTTAGTGAGGGGTTAGCGATACCCAAATAGATTCAGTGAAGAAAAAGTGCACACAAAATCTTCCCACAAATCTTAATCCACTTTTAATCAGATAATGAGAACAATAAAAAATTTAAAAAAAAAAAAATCTTAGGAGATTGTTATTGTCTTTTGGAAAATAATTTAGACCATTCACACTATGTCACTTTTAGTATTTACTCATTGGGGTCAAGATTTTCTTTAGCCCGTGCTTAGGTTAAAAGTTAAAACGATTACATTGCAAAAGGTTGCAATGGCCACCAATTAAATTTTACAAGCAAATCAATTCTTATGTTGATGATTCTACGTTTTAACAAGATAGAATAAAATTATAAAAGAATGTTTTACTCCAAGAAAGATATCATATTAAAAGGATACCGTGGGTTCAACTAAACTTAGACTGTTGAATTAATAATATATTTCGTGTCTATATTTTTTGTTAAATAATTTACATAAATACATCTCCAAATTATAATATATCTCCTACCAAAGAGATGGACGTTGTAGGGATAGAGCCGGGGCTCAAGAGATGATAGGGCCGTTAGGCCACATTGCAAGAGTGAAGGGGCTGTGTGCGCCGCGCCTTCCCGCAAGGGTGAGGGCGGCACATGGGGGAGGTAGTGGTCATTGTTGGTTCGTGTGTGGAACGAAAAATTGCGGGGTGGGTCTCCGGCATTAATCGGCAGCTCTTCTATGAGGTCTTTCTCTCTTGGGAAATTGTAAATCAATACTTACAATGAAGCGATCTATTATTAACACTCCAGATGTATTGAGGTATTTTAATCATTTCACATTAAAAATAATAGAGTTAGAGTTAGAGATGTCGACATAAAACACTCCAGATATATTTAGGTATTATAACCATTTCACGTTAAAAATAATAGAGTTAGAGTTAGGAATGTCGACATAAAAGTCTCGTTCACTTCGCGGATTCGAGTTGAGATCTGACACTTTTTTAGAGTTTTTCACTGTAACAGAAAAAGTTAGATGTGACATTTTATGAGAGATTTTTACTATATAAACCTATAACTGAAAACTCGAATCAGTGAAATGAACGAGGCACAAATAATTTAATCAAGTGGTTTGTCTTTGTAATTTTACTAGTTTGCCCTTTGGAATATTTTATACCCTAAAAATAAAATAAAAAAAAACCTAGTTGCCATCTCTACTAAAAATAAAAATAAAAATTCATTTATACCCTAAAAAGTAACTAGTTTAGTTAATTTAGAAGAGGAAAAAATAGAAATAGATAAACGAAGATAAAAAAACAACGTTAAAGTTTATGAAAATTTAATTCTGTTGTAATGTTAGTTTAAAATTATTGTTTCATTTGGAAAAAAATTTTAACTCGATCGCTGATGAGACGTTTAGTTCATGAATTCAAAACCATAATTCATTATTCTAATTTTTGAAATTCAAGATTTTTATAAGAAAAAAATATTATAAATAATCAAGAACCATGATTCAGAATCAGTGACGAACCCTTGAAACAAACATCCCATAATTATTCTACTTTTGTTTTAAAAGGTCTACTTTTTTTTTTTTTGTCCCCCTACAACATTATTAGCTCATACCTTTAGTAGTCAAGTTTAAAGGGCCGATTCTTTTCGTTTTCTTTAAGATTATGCACTATAGAGGCAGCTCAAACCTTAAAGGGACCATAGCCATAGGGATAGGGGTATCGATGGACGTTATCATTTAGAGTCTGTTTGGTTCATAAATTAGAATCATTTTTTATTTACGTGTGTTTTTTGTGAGAGAAAATACTGTAAC